ATACCCAAAAGGTGTACGTGTGGCTAGTTGTATCCTCGTGAATCTGATGTAATATCGTAACTATCCGAAATAAAGCTAATGCCAATGGCCTAAGTGGTCACCTTTAATATTAAAAAAAAAAAAAAAAAAAAAAAGAAATTAAAGTATAAATACTACTTATTACTAATTACTAGGAAAAAAGTCTTTTGACTATCACATCGCCATAATATCTTCTTTTATCCTATATTTTCAATGTACAACAGACCGAATCCACGGTTTTCAAGATATTTAAAATTTGTATAACAATGTACAAACTTTGATATTGCGACAATAATCAAACCTTAAAATTGATTTCTTGTAATATACCAGAATATAATCATTAGTAATATACTAAAATTGAAATTTGTACAATACAAGTAAACAAATAAAATCAAACTTTAAAAAAAAAGTTGAATCAACTTCCTTCTTTCGTTAAAGATGAACAATATTCAGGATAATATTGATGATTTAGAAACTGACAATGAAACTGACATTGATGATAATAACAGTAGCGAAATAAGACCTTCTTCAAAAGGCAATAAAACTACTGGTTTACCAAAAAAAAGGAAAAGACGCAGACTCAAAGCTGAAGTATGGCAACATTTTAAATTAGAAGGGAGTTTTGCAGTATGCCAAGTTGAAATAATTCAAGATAGAAAAAAAAAAAATGTGAGACCAAATATGATCGTACTAATTCAAATTCAACATCATCAATGAATTATCACATTATACAAGAACATGACATAGTTCTCGAAAGTCTGGCTAAAAAGGTATTATTTAATTTATAAGGGCTTTGTAGTTTATCGTCATAGCGATATATAAATAGATTTATACCCAAATTATTATAATATTGTAATTATAGGCAGAGAAAAAAGGAAGATTACGCTTGAACAAGTTATAGAAAATATAAAACCTCAAAACCCAAATAAACAAAACAAATTACAGGCAACAAATACAGAATGGATCGTTATGGATTCTTTACCCTTTAATACACTTCGTGGAAAAGGATTTCAACAATTTATAAAAAAAATTGATCTATGATTTAAAATACCATCTAATAAAGAATGTAAAAATCTTATAGCAGCAGCTTATCAAGATGGAATAATCAAACTTAAAATAAAAATTAATGAAACATGTGAATATGCTACCATTACTACGGATCTCTGGACTGCCAGATCCAAATTTGGATATATCGGTATTATGATTCATTGGCTTACACCTAATTTTGAAATTATTGATGTGCTTCTTACTATTAAACATATACGGTACCCCCATACGGCTGAGAAAATACATGATTATATTAATAATAAAATAGATAAATTCAGTTTAAATAAAAAATTATTTCTAGAAGTCACTGATAATGGTTTCAATATGAAGAAAGCCTTTACAATATAGGAAGATATTAAATGGTTACCCTGTTCTGCCTATACTTTACAACTATTAGTAACAAAAGGTTTAAAAAAAATTAGCCCTTATGTGAAAAGGTTCAAAAAATTAGTAAAATTTTTTACAAAGTCAGTTAAACAATCTGAACGGCTCGATGAAGCACAAATAGATCTAGTACGACAAAATCATATTCGAGAAGAGAAAGTTGAGATTATTCGATTTAATCAATTATCAACTCTTGATATGGATAAGGAAATTAGTTCAGAAGAAGATAAAAATGATAGAGAAATTGATGAATCTACAATAAAAGTATTGCATAATATTACCGATATTTGTACTAGATGGAATACTAGTTACTATTCATGGACAAGGCTCTTAAAATTAAAAGATGCAATAACGTGGTTAGCATTCATTTTACCTTTAAGAAAAGAAAAAGAAATTAAAAAAGATAGTCAAAAATTGTCTCAGTTATTGTTAAAAGAGTATAAGTGGGAATTGTTAAAAAGAATTGTTAATGCATTAAAACTATTTGAACTTACAACAAAATTCTTTTTAGAAAGCAAATATCTCACTCTTTTGCTAATGTATCCTATTATTTGTGAATTACAAAATAAATTTATAGATTTTAGTTTAGAACTAAGTAATAATAATAAAGATAGCAACGATGAGGATGGTAAGTTTTGTTAGTTATCAATTCTATTTCACTAAAGTAATGATTAATATTTAAAGTTTGCTAATTATTATGTATTATTATGATTACTAATATTAATCACTATGTATGTAGCAGATTTTAAATATTAATTATCACGTTATCAGTTATGTAACAATGCACATATTATGTAAATCAATGTAATTTCAGTAATATTAATAATATAGCGATTTACTACTATGTAGCGATAAGAAGTCAAATGTATTTTTCTAACTTTCTTTCGAATTAATTAGATATGTTATTAGATTCTGAAAATAAAGACAACACTCATTTACATGCTTCATTACCACCACCCAATCTTGATCAAATAGAAAAGCAATTTAAAATTGCTATTTCTGACTCTTTGAATAAATATTGGCATGATTTTTGTGAAGTTGGATTGGTAGCTACCTTTTTAGATCCTCGAACCAAAAAAATGTCTGCATTTACAAATAAAGAACGAGAAAAGGCTGAAACAAAATTGAGGAATGAGTTTGAAACTTTGTATCTTAATATTACTAGCAGTGATCAATCAGAGCAACAAATATCAATGCCAATAGTTACTGAAATTATACAAAATCCATTTTTCGAAGGTATTTTTGGAGTACAGAATCAAGAAGACACACCTTTAGATGAGGTGGCATGATATATAAAAACTACCCCTATTAGTTATAATGCCAATCCTTGGCAATGGTGGGATGATTATAAAACTGAGTTTCTGATTTTGTCATTGTTAGCATGTAAATATTTGTGCGTACCAGCAACATCTGTCCCTTGCGAGAGACTTTTTTCAGATGCAGAAAACCTGATTACTCCCCAATGTACAAGATTAAGTTCAACATCATTAAAAAAATTCTTTTTTTTAAGCGTAATGCTGAACATCTAAGTAGGTTTAAAATTTATATATAATTTTAAATGCAAATGTTTTTTTCACTCATATGTGATTCCTTTTTATATTATTTGCAATAGGCTTAATCAAATAACAAAAAAAAAAAAAAAACTGCACTATCTAGGCTGAAAAAGATGAATACAAAGACATCAGGATAATTAAAAGTGTGCTAACGCTTATATCTATTAGAAGAATGTGTTACAAAATTGCTACAAGCAAATATATTTTGTTGTAATTATAAAGGTTAAAAGTGTTAATGATCCTATTGAATGAGATAACTAGCTGGAAAGGGTTTTTATAAAGAATTGCAGCTTGACTTTTTTAATGAAAAATGGTATCATTCAAAATTCTATTCTAAATTGTGTAATATAACCAGAATATACAATTAGCTATTACAATATATTCATTATAGAGTCCGTGTTTTGGTTATTGCAGCTATGATATTATCAAAAAAGATCGAAAGAGATAAATGTAGGAAATTTATGATGGGATATAGGTAGTGCTAGTATTTCAATTTTTCTTTTTTTTTTTGTATATTTTGCAATGAAACTTTAACTTTGAAAATTGGAATAAATTGAGTTATGATTAGTATTAGCAGTTTAACAATAATATTTTCTAACGTAATATAAATAAATAATACAAGTTTTAGACATTGTTAATGCTGGATCTCGATATATGAACACAGTTAAACAGTAACGATTAACAAACGGTTAAAGGCTAAACAGTTAAATATTAAATAAACAGCAAAACGGCTAAATAGTTAAATGATTAATAAATGATTAAACAATTAAACGGTTAAGCAATTAATAAACAGTTATATTATTAATAAATGGTTAAACGAGTAAATGGCTAAGCGATTAATAAATGGTTAAACAATTAAACAGCTAAGCGATTAATAAACGGTTATATGATTAATAAACGGTTAAACGAGTAAATGGCTAAGCAATTAATAAACAGTTATATGATTAAATGGATAAACGATTATACGATTAATAAACAGTTAAACGATTAAACAGCTAAGCGATTATGTGATTAATAAACGGTTATGCGATTAATAAACAGTTATACAATTATTCATGATTAATCGTGTAATTTCTAATTAGGCAATGCGATTAATCACCAGCATAATTTTTCACGGTTCCAAACTCTACTTATAAGTTATGTATAAAATTAACATAGCTTTAAAACTATGTTGTCAAATTTTCAATTTACTTACAAAATTTACCAATTTTCACTTTTAAAATCGATAAACTTTATAAGTAAATTGAAATTTTGGTAACATGGTTTTAAAGCCACGTTAATTTTATGCATAACTTATAAAATACGATAGTAGATTTGCTTAAGTAAAAAAAGAAGTATAACATTTTAATGTTTATAATATATTTATATAAAAAAAAATGATCAACAAAAATTCAAAAATCTTATATAGTGCGCCAATAATATTGTGCTGCACTATGATAGTAAATTATTTAGTGTAAAACATCCTACTATACAATAATATTAAAATGAGAAAATATGTTTAAGCAGTCTTTTTGATTCTTACACTATGACGAGTGATCCCAGCTCAGCATAGAATGATTGGCTGTTGGTTGTAGATTACCACATGATTAAATCAACAAAAATCTTTTAAAATGATTGGCCATTCTTAGATGTTATTAGCAAATATTTCTACAACCATGTAAATTACTTTTTTTAAAACTTTAATTGAAGGTATTTTGATGACTATCTGACTAAATTTGATAAATTTTTTTTATTAGAATTCTCAAGTATATAGAATTCAAATAAAAAAATATTTATTGAATTTGGTTAGGTGATTGTTGAGATACTTTTGATCAAAGCTAGAGAAAATTTTGTTAGTTATTATTTTGATATACATTTTTTTAAAAATTTAATCAAAAGTATTTTGATGATAGGGTTCCTATGAACTAAACTAAACTAAACTTTAATCAGATTCAGGTTTAGTTCAAAAATTGAACTGAACTAAACTTGAATATTTTTTAAAAATAAGTTCAGTTCAGTTCAGTTTTTGAACTTTTAAATTTTGTTCAGTTCAGTTCAATATTCAGTTAAGAGTTCATGAACATGTTCAGTTTAGTTTTAATTCAAAGTATATATGTTCATTTTTGAGCGCTGAACAAGTTTACTTAGAGCATAAAGTTATAATTAATTAGTAAAAT